TGTAGTCTTTGCAACAACACATACAGTTCTGTTGTACTCAGATCTTTAACTCCCACCACTCACTATTTGCAAAGCTACGTACTTACATAATACAGGTACAAACATTCATTCAGAAGTTAGTTTTTTTGTCACTATATCAAATAAATTGAGAAAAACTGACTTGCCCAAACAGAAGTTACAGAATAATCAGGATTATTTTTATTAATTCATCTTCAGTTTCAATAATATCATTACAGAAAAAACATCCTCTTCATTATATTTATACAGTAGTAGTAGAACGCTGTGTCATTGCTTCATTACAAGTGCTGGTCATAGTTTATAGTGTGTGCAGTGTGACACTGAGTTCACTCCAGTGTTACGAATCACTCAGTACAAAGGCAGTTTAACAATAACCTGCTTCTTCTTATTCAAATGAATCTATCTGGGTTTGATTGGTCCTCCTTGGGCAGGTGCCAGGACGCACTCTGATGCTGCGTTCATGTCATCATGGAGTGATTCTAAATGAGCTGCCAAATGTAGGAAAAAGTGAAATTTGGAAATGTAATATATATACTTTTTAATTCAATATGTATGCCTCTCACAGACTTAATGACTGCTTTTAAAATGCTGCAAAAGATTTCACCCTGTTCTTCTATATCTGCTTTAAATGACATGAACACAGCATGAGTCACTGATATATATATATCTATATATATATGGTGCATTTGAGGTAACTGGGAAGTTTCTGAAAAACCAAGCTAGAGGAATTAATAAAGACAGCGTTGGTACGGGAGCTTACACACCAAGAATCACATCAGAAATTGTCACATTTAATCTGCTCAGAGGCCCCGCCCAGGTGCTGCACCTTCATCTCATGCCTGGAATCACACCTGCCCAAAGAGAAAGACACGCCCCCCTTTATGGGCATGCAAGTGTGAAGAGGAAGAGAGGACAATAAGGAAGAAGGGGAGGGCTGGAAAAAGAGCGTGTCAGCCTATCAGGAGAATGGTCAAAGCTCAGAGTTACTGACTGGTGCTGCATTCAGTTCACAGTGGAAAAATAGCAGCCTTCAATGTTTTTGGGGGGCAACTAAAATGAAATGACAATCAGCAACAACTGATCTCTAGGAAAACTTTAGTTTTGTCATCTTGGCATCTTTCAGTACCGATAAATTCAAACAAATGTTGAAGCATTGTAGTAGTTATTCCAAAATGGCCTGAATGCAGCGTTAGACCTTTGACCATGTGGGTTTGTTTGGCACTGTTCACACTACTGGAAGAATCCGAGGAACTAGAGGGATTAAATTGTGGAGCACTGGTGAATGCTTGGGACTCACAGATTGCATTTGAATGGTCATTGTTAATTGGTAAACAATTTAATGTCAGTGTTTAATCAGCAGAATACTACAGCCAACAGGTCTACTATTTTGTTAATGCTTGGCATAAACTAAGCTTCTGTAGTGGGCTAAATATCAAATGAGGTTTTCTATATGACTACATACAGTACGTTGAGAGAAAAGCAGTCAAACGATGTTTTGATTCACAGCCTTGAACTGTATTGATTCTTTTGACTTTAACAAGCACCTTAACACCGTCATGGTAGAAATACACGTAGTGTAGTTTACGAGCACCTGAATGTGACACCCTGCTTTCAAGTGATGTCAGGTTGGAGTTTTGTGAGTTGGGACTAGAATATGTCACAACTCATTCAAGCAGCTCGTGTGTGTTCATGTAGTTTATCTGAAATATTTGAACAAAGATGGAGGCTCCCGATTGGCCAAACAGAAGCCAGCATTTGAGACCAGCTGTCTACTAAGTATAGTTATCTTTGGCTACTTAACAGATAAGAAAATTACAAAATTCTATACTTTCCTCAGTAACAAATCCCATGAAACAACCAAACTCACACTATCCTGCCACCCAAAATACTCACTATAGCACCAAATGTGGATTAATGCGCAGCTAAAAACAGTGCCCTATGAACTGATTATTTACTCCTGTGTAAGTGATATTTGCTACAAACTGTAGTGCCCAGCTGTTTGAAGGTACACAGTCCACCTACCAGCACCTTCAAAGTTCACTAATTTACTAGTTAAATCTTGTCTTGTTGTTGCTGACGCTGTTCAAAAGCATAAATGCAACACTTTGTATTGACTATGGAGTTTATCACTTTTGGACAGAGCCAAAGTAAGTTTCCAATCTTTATGGAGTCAAGTCTGCTGACTGTACGCAGACATGAGATATCGTATCATCTCAACTCACTCATTGCGAGAAAGCAAATGAGTATTTACTGAAATGTCAAATGATATCTTTAAGGCTTTTCGTCTTCAGTAGGAACCAGCAGTGTTTTGGCTGAGAGCCACAGATAAAAATAAGTCAGAAAGTAATAAGAGATGGACTAACAGACTGCTTGTTTAGGTCTTTTCATGGGATTTTATTACAGTAAGAAAAATATAGAATAAAGTCAGCCTTATCTTTTATTAGTCTTAAAAATACAGAAAAACACATTTATCAATGACTAGGTATTATAATTGTCTACTGTAGTTTTATGACGTAAACTTGAGACTTGGGTACATCAAACACCACTTGAATGCAGGGTTAAACTAATACTTTCAGTGTGGCCCACCTCCAATATGACTACAGATCACAGAAATCAATATGCATTTTATTACGATTATGTTTATATTTGATGTCAGACCAAAGAAATCATTCCAGTACGGTGAGGGAAGATTTAAGTCCTGCCTCACCATGACCCTAAAAGATGAGCCACTGACCCACCTAGAAGAACTTCATGGCTTTCACTGAGTCATGATAAGCTTTAGTGTCTCAGTATAGTTTGAAAGTGTTATATCTGGAGAAAAAAAAATAACTAAATTAAAATTACAAAGGATCCTCATATTTTCTTTTGTCATTTTTTTTTTAGGAAAAAAAAGTAACATTTACTGTACTGACACAAAACTTTATCAGCAGCTTCGATCAAAAGATGTCTTCATCAGCCTTTACTTCATTTCAGTCAATACTGATGTTAGGGTCAGAGTGGTCCAAGAGGAGGTTTGGTGATACTGCAGGGACAGGTATCAAAGGGTTTCTATATCAGGATAGAGGACGCCAGAACAGAGCAGTAGTAAAGTTAGAAGTAGAAAAAGAAGAAAAGGAAGGTGAGAGAAAGAGAAAAAAGGTCAGGAGGAGTGGACGAAGGAGGGGCAAGTCTCTATATCTCTAAATCTACCAGGGAAAAATGTTAACGCACAAAGCAAATGAACAGGAGAGTAGAGGGCATGAATACTACTAAGATGATAATATTCAATCAGAACCATGATAATAATAATAAATAGAATATTAATTAAGAATATTAATAATCATTATCATCAGGATAATAATAATATTACAGAATAAATCTCATATTTTATATATTTTTTTCACATTTTTTTTCTCCATTGAAATACAGTGATCTCCTCAGAGCAGACCAATGAGGATTCAGCCTGCGCTGGCTCCGATTGGCTGTTGCATATGACATCACAGCTAATGGCGACCAGGTAGACATGCATCACTTCCTGCCCCCGCCCGTTTCCTGTCCAGACAAGAAGTCCTGGCACTGCCATGGTAATCGGTAGCGAGTGACATTTCAGTCTGGAGAGACAAACATGTTGGGGGATCGTTAGTTTTATGCTTTTGTCCACCTTTGCTACGAAGACAAACACACGTGCAGGCTTCCTGTGCGACTACAGGTGAATAAAACAGACGACAGAGCCTGACATACCTGCATCATAGCCGTCCGATGACCATGACGTCCACAACCTCTCCCTTATGCAGTTCCACATACTGCTCTGTTTTAGGAGGTAACATCAGCAGGCCGTTGGCGCTACGCATTGACATTAGCCTGCTGGATACCTGGTTGCCTGAAGAGAGAGGGGCAGGGATCATGCATGGGCGACTCAGTCTGTGTGTCTGAATTAGAGAGTGTGAGTGTGTGTGATTAGGTGCGTGTGTGTGTGTGTGTGTGTGTGTGTGTACCTGTGCTTTGTGCCCAGGGCAGTGGCTCCTGATGATGCCAGGTTAAAATACAGCGGTGGTACTCTGGTCTGGGATCCAGCTTAACATCACAGGAAAGCTAAAAGACAAAGACACACACACACAACAGATAAATGACTCATGAACTATTCATATTGTCCAGAAACAAAATAATTGCATTAAAAGATTTTCTAGATAAACAGCTTCCCACTCAAAGGAGTAGCTAGGTCTTTTTGGGAAATACATTATTTGCTATCCTGAGTGAGATGAGAGCTGCAGTGCCATTCTTGTGTCTGTATGCAATATGAAGCTGTTTAGACAAACAATATTTAACAGGTTATTTAGAGAGATTTAGTGGTGCTGGAAAGTGAACGGAGATAAGGACAGAAAGTAAGGTTCTATTAAAGTGCAGTGAGAGAGAGCAACAGGAAAGTAAGGGAGAAGAATGGGGGGATGACATGTGGGAAAGGGCCATGAGCGGGATTCTAACTCATGACCTTCACATTGGGACTGTAGCCCTGTGCATGGGACACCAGCTCAACCAGGTGAGCTACAGCGGTACCCTGAAAATAAGACTCATTTCTAAATATCACTATAGTATTTGTCACAAATATGTTAATAATAGTGGTACAACATTTATAATGTTGTGTTACTGTGCAGTCAACTGATTGGTTCTCAAAGGTAGTCTTTCACAAAGTTCACTTATTATTTTGGGTTTAAAGTTTATCCATCCAGGGTGAAGGCAGAGTACACCCTGAACAGGTTGCCAGGCATTACAGGGCCAACATGAAATGTTTAAATCTACTTTTAATGTAAATATAATATTGATATTAATATTGCTTTTATGGATCTGTCGTAAGGAAGGTCTGAATTAGGATTAGCTCCACGCTTAATTGCATATCAGTTTAGCATTGTTTGTGTGTGTGTGTGTGTGTGTGTGTGTCTCCTACTTACCCTAGCTTTGATAATGGTAGGTCTAGGGTCCAGAATGCCTTGCATCTTCCTCAGAGCAGGAATCACAAACAGGTTACATGTCACCACAGCAGACACTGGGTTACCTACAAAACAACACAACACCGGTTACAAAGAAGGAAAAATTACTAATACTGACAACTGAATTACATAATTACTGGATTATTAGTACAGTCTACACATCACATGCAGGTTTTGCTGTATAAATGTAGACTACAGTGTAAGTCTTGCACGGTGTTGTTGTACTGTATGTGCATGTGTTAGTTGCTGATGTCTCTTTGCACTAATACAACCCAGACAGACTGCTGTGAATTTATTGTACATAGTGAACAAATGAATCTTGATGTTTAGTCAAAACCAACACTGGAGACCGTGCGCTAAGACAACAGAACTCGCTGTCAGCAAAACTGTGTGGAGAGCGCTCCCAGCACAGCCACAGAAGAAATCTGGCTGAGTTGCTTGTTTGATCATCCTGTTTATCCACGAGATGCTTTGGTTGCATGAACTAGACATAATGGTGCATTTATGTGGCACTATTGATGTCACACTACAGTGTCGTCAATGGAGAAATGATGGTAAAACCATCAATTCTAAACCATTTATGAATTTAATGTAACAAAAGTATAACTTCAACAGTTTGTGCTTTTTTCCAAAGCAGCATCAAACATGTTTCTACTGCCAGTTATCAGTGCAGAAGGTTTCTACAAAGGAACAGGATGTTGGTATGTGACATCTTCCTGGACAATGTCAGGGTGGCTGTCCAGCTGAAACTCAGCTTTAAGTTGAGTGGTGCAACAAACATTTCAAATAAAGAAAATCTGCTATTTGGAATGGGCCAGATTTTAACCAAACAAAGATGATCTGACAGAGAGATTTAAAAAAACACATAGCTGAGCTGAAGCAGTCCAAATGGCAGAAAGATCCAAAAGTTCACCTAAGTGTTGTGCAGGTTTTATTTGCAGTTACCAGAAATGCTGTTTACGGATTTTTTCAAACAACAGAATGACTATATAACTGCCAAATAAATCATTATGACAAGAAGTCAGCTGGCTGTTTGTTGGACTTCTGTGCCCTGTTAATCCTCTTTTGACTTGTTTCTGACTATAATGTGAACACAGCTTCATATTAGTTCTAGATAAGCAGGAAGTGACAGATCAGTTTGAAAATACCAAGTTTCTAAGCGTGGGCTTAAGGTGATCATTTGGGATCCTCAATGAATTAATTTTCAGCACATGGACTCTCGCTGAAGTTGAAGTTTCCATCAACAACATTATTACATACAAAGTGCTTGAGTAGAAATCTAACACACCCTGAATCACAGACTAAAGTGACACTACACAGTAAAATACCTGTACATTACCATGACAACATCACTGACATGCAGCACTGGCAACAACAGTGGAACTGCAACACAGCTGTAAATAACTGCTGTGCTTTACTCAGAGGTACTGAGGCTTCTATAGGGGCTCATAAAGACAGAATTTCCTGCAGGTATTTGCAGGGGTGTGAGGATGCAAAGGCAAAGGCACTGCGTAAGGTGACAGGAACAGCTGCATCGAGGTTTTTCAAATACAAAGTTAGCTATTGTCATTTGGCTGCTGGCGTGGCCTTTTCAGCAACACGTTCATCAGTTGTAGCTGCAGTGATAGCTGTAGCACAAAGCTCATGAAAGACACTATATTACAAAAATAAAACTACTTTGATACCAGGAGTATCACAACCAGACTGAGCAGGACATAGTGATGTAAGACAACGAACATTACCTCGAGCTCGGTATTACTTTACTTGGGTTGGCTCAGGTCCCTCACCATGACCTCAATCACCATGGTGTCTGATTTGTAAAGAAGTACAAACTAACAAGCATGTGACCTGCAAAACCTTGCTGCCAACTTGGAGATTAAGCATGCTGGGTTTGCCTTTGAATCCCTCAGTCTGTCCAAATGGAGGCTGGATGGTGTTTTGAGGAAAGAAGTGAATGGACAAGTTCAATAAGATGAGCTGAAGAGAACCAAGTCCTTCAATCAAAAACGTGTTTCAAAAATGAGAAAGGCACTGAGGAAGCATTCATTTAGATAATTACAAGTTAAGTTCAAAACAGCATAGTATTTGTTTGTCAGTGTGTGTGTGTGTGTGTGTGTGTGTCAGACTTTGGAAAGCCCTGCTATAGAGTGACCCAGGTGTCACTTGAAATGCTGCATCTCTCTCCATCTGAGAGTGAAAAAAACGCTGTCAGTCGATGACCTGATGAACAAACTGCTAGTCTCTACATGAGCTTGGTATGTTAAGGCTATTTTTTTATGGGTTCCGTTTGTTTTTCCTAAAAACATATCAGATAGCAAGTTTTTTTGATTGTTAAGGGTCAGAATGTCAAGTCACGACTGTACTTTAATACATACCGCAAAATTTAATATATTGCTCTTCTTTTTTTTTTCTTTTTTTTATACAGTCTTTGAGGAAAAGAATGACAGAAAACTGTCAGAAGGCCTGCATGAACATGGATTTATATTTAGGCCACATTTTGGTAGCACTTCCTTGATATAAATAACAATTATTCTTAATATAGCTAATCAGTCAATTTGATCTTGGTCAAAAAATGATGCTTGGAATTAAAAAAAAAAACAAAACTAATTTAATTAAAGGTTCTGCTAAAATTTACTTGCTTGTTTTGAGGCAATGAGCTTCAGTAGCAGCAGTAGTGACACTGTTTGCTAAAGGTCTGATAGTACTCCAGTAAAAAAAAAAAAGTTTATACAGTATAAAATAGTTGAGGGCAGCAAGAGAACAGGTTGAAGCTGATGATGTTGGTCTAGTGTAGAGGAAAAGTTTGGGTGACAGTTTACAGATCGATTGGATCATGCAAGTGAAAATGTGAGAAACCACACACTGAAAGTTTACAGGTGTTGTCATCACCCTGCTGACAGATTGTTGGTATCAGAACATCGTCAATTTGTTTGTCACCGCTACCTTCAAATACATTATCATGCTTGATTTATGTCTAAAGAAAAAGATCACACCTAAAACACAAACATGACAAGCATGCGTACTGGAAAGCAAACAGCATCATGTGCTACACCGTGCCAACCACTCTAACAGTTGATGCTTTACGTGGGTCTACTTTTTTGGTACAGATTACACAAAGCAAATGTGTGGTGGCTTTAGATACTAATAATATATGAATAGGTGTTGAGCCAGAGTGCACTGAATAGAGGGTCCAGAGAGACCAGACACAAAGGAGATACACACTTGGCAATGCCCAAATCACACACACAATTACTTCAGATGTAAATATGGTACCTGGCAGAGCAAAGATGAGTTTCCGTGTTCCATCAATGTCAACTGTGGCAAAGGTAGTAGGAAGACTGAAAAACAGAAACACACAGGCCATCAGTCATAATAGTATCAGAGAGTGGGAGCATCAGGAAGAACTAGCAACAGTTCTAACAGCTCTGCTATCAGCACTAATACTGTCACAGTATTAATCATATGTAGAACAACCAGCAGTCACAACAGTAAACAAAATAGCTTTATGGCAAAATAGTTGCAGCATTAAAAGTAAAAGTAGAAATGTAATTATTCTGAATTCTTACGTTGGTGCCATTGATTTTTTATTTTTTTTGGTACTGGCTAAAACCTCTGTGGGGAATGACTGACGTGTCTTTAGGGTGAGCCAAATGTTTCTCTGTGCAGCAAAAACCATCTATGAGTAGAGCTACTAACAGTAGTACAAGCAGTACTAGCTGGGAAACTAGTAGCAGTAGTAGCTGAAAAAGCAGTAGTGACAGCAGAGGTGATGGACGGAATAGCAACTATAGTACTTGACAGTAGTGGGAGAAAGCCCTCAGCACCAAGGCAGACCATCCCCTCCCCATCTCACCCTGGCTTCATAAAGACTCGTCCAAAGTGGATCTGAGCATGAAGGTCAATATCCAGCACCTGTTTCAGGTAGTCCTGATACACAGAAATAAAGACACTCAGAACACCAATACTGTAAAACCAAACTTGCTTTCATTTGTTGTTACAGTAGAGAAACAGATCTGTGGGACAACCAGGGAGGAAACAGATATATTGTGAAAGAGGACAAGAAAATAAGGGCTGACTTCTTATGAAAGATGAAATTTCTGCTCAACATGTCAGTTGATTCTTTAAGTAGTTAGAGGAGATGTGTGATAGGTGAGAGGTACCTTCTCTCCCATGGATACACCCCCTGAGGTGATGATGACATCGGCACGACTGATTCCCTCATGGAGAGCTGACAGCAGGTCATCAGGGCTGCAAACACAAGCATCATACATCAGACTCAGTTTACTACTGGTGGCAGAGCTACCCGTATAAAGCAACTGTGGAAAGGAGCTTTGTCAGCTCTGAGAAAATAACCCTGTTGATGTCGCAGCAATGTCATTAGGATTATGTTGGACTGGACAGCATAAATCAAAAACTTGTCAAAATCAAAGACAGCAAATTAGAGATGTGACGTCTGAAAGATCTGGGTGTTGGACAGGAAAGGAGGTACAAATATATGGGAGATGTGGGATCCAGCTTCTTCTGGAACTTGACTTACACTAAGGACTACAAATCAGAATATTTCTGCCTGTGTGATTTCAGTTTTGACTTTTGTTCTACAAATTTGACTCCTGTTTGTCACCCAACTTTATCACAGTGCAATTTAATTTTAAATTGCTGCAGTAAATGTATTAGCAATAATCCTCTGCATCCCCAAAACCACCGGCAGGTTCTAAAAGGCACGTCATCTTTAAAAACAAAAACACAAGATGACACCACTTGTCAAAATCTAAATCTGCAGAAACTGTAAAAACTGAAAGAATCATGAACTTTTCAACCCTCCAACGGTCCTTGAACTAATCATCTGTGGCGTGTAGTTCCATTGAAAATATTAGTCAAATCTAAGCTGAAAATCCTCATATTTCATCAAAATCACTTTACTCTGTGTCTTGTTTAAAATTCAGCAACAAACTAGTATTAGTAACACCTCTGAGCACTGTCAGGTTTGTTCAATGTTTGTAAAATGAAAAATCACAGAAATTCAACTTTATTTTTGATTGTACATAATTTATGGAATAACTGTACTACATTACACAAAAGACATTTTAAAGTTCTCTCTCCTACTAGCCATGGTTGCACTGTTTCAATAGACATGCAGGACTTTATATTGCCATAAAAACTGGGCAAAGTGGGCAAAACTGACAGGAGCAAAAACACCAAGAAACTGTTTGGGCCTCAAAGGGTTAACTGGGTTTGTCATGGACAGAGCAGACTTCTTGAAAAGTTACAATGCTCTTACTTGTCTCCAACAATGCCGAGATTGATGGTTGGGTATCCATGTTCCTGGATGGTAGCCAGAAGAGTGGAGCGATTAGAGTCTCTGATCTTCCCTGGGTGGAGATCATCCTCTGGATTCAACAGCTACACACACACACACACACACAGACACAGATATAGTCAGCTGTTGTACTGATTCTGTAGTAGTAACCCAAAAAAAATAAGAGCAACTAGAGAAAGAGCATTCTGTGTGCATCTGCATCTGTTAATGTGCTTGTACCTCATTTCCAGTGGACATGACAGCCACCACAGGGAACTTGTGCACGCTGACCTCGGTCACTCCAACAGTGGCCAGCAGGCCGATCTCTGACGGGCCCATATGTGTCCCTTTAGCCAGCACGCACTCCCCTCGCCTGATGTCATGACCTATCGGCCTGGGCAGACACACAAACGCGTTACACTCACAGCCAGCTGATGGTTCTCTAATGCAAATGTGATAGCAATTAGTTTCCGCTTGGTGCTTTCAGAATTCTGTTTGCATTTTACCTGATGTCCTGTCCGGGCCGGGCCTGGACCATAATCCTCACCTCCAGCTCCTCTGTGCCCTGAAACAAACAGCCCATCAATATCACCAGACCTGCCGATACAACATGTACTTTCTATACACAGAGGTAGAGTGATCCCACCAGTGAGCATGTTAGCAAGCACAAGTGTTAAAACTAGACAGTGTTCTTACATCTTCAGACTCCCTCAGCAGCTCTGTATCTTCTACTTGGACCACAGCGTCGGCCCCACAGGGAATCGGAGCCCCGGTGGTCACCCTCATCACCTGTCCCGGCATCACTGTATGGGTTGGCTGCACACACACAAATGCATTTAGCAGCCATATATTTGCTGCAGAGCAGAACCAAGTATACACAGCACCGACACGGACACTGATAAAAATGCGCCAATATCTTTGCTGGTTTTGGTAATGACAGCAACAACATTGGCTGGTAGTGTTACTAACAGCATGACTACAGGGGAGCAGTAGTGGTGGTAGTATTACAGGTACAACTGCTGTAGTACCTACAGTAGTGCAGTACTCACTTAGCAGTGATTTCATGGTGATGCTAAAACTAGTATAAAGTAGAATTCAGACAGTTTGGTATTTTCCTGACCTATCTGATCTGTGTGGTAATTTCTATCCTGGTAATAAGAGGTGCGAACAGGAGGCAGGTTCACTGAAATGATGTAGGACAACACAACTTGTTAATATTTTGGTAAAAATGCATCTTAGACATTCTTGTTTCTGGGATAAAGTCATTCAAATTACAGAATAACACCTAAAATGTATAAAAACAAATCTAATTTGAACACTTCCCAAGCAGTAAATGAATTTAATTAGAATCAAAAATAACTGTTTACTATGATAACAGCAGGACTGTCAGTAGATTAGTCTGCCCTGATCTAAAGACAAATCAGTGTGGGGGATTCTAACAGTAGCCTTTAATCTTTACCCATGCAGCCACCTGAAGGCAGCAGGACATTTATTTGTGATAAATGTGTAGCCTGTAATTTGAGAAGTACTGCGACCCAGCATAGTGCACGTGCATACAGCCGTTAATTAAATTAAAGCACCATCCTGTCACAACGAAACAACACACACTGTTACACAAATCACACTGGTCAGACATTATTCCAACAGTCTATACTAGAGGTGTCGAAGTAACAGAAATAATTCGTCCTGCGCAAAACTGTCTCCTTCTCCAATATTTATGGTGAAAGTAATGTGTCAGGTTTTGTTTTCAAAATGCATTAACATGTCTGTAACAAATGTACAGTAGCAACAAAAGTCCGTCACTTAATGTGCAACTATGTATACATTCATCCTAAAATACAGACAGATTTTCATCTGAGTTACATTTATGAACAATCTATTCTAACTAATAACACAAATCATTATATGGTGCCTGTCCGTGTTGAATACATCATTCAAACACTCACAGTGTAGGTTGGAAAAAGCACGTGAACCCTAATGACATCAACAGCAGCTAATTGGAGTCAGGCATTAACAAGCTGGAGTCCAATTAATGAAACCAGATTGGAGCTGTGGATTAGAGCTACTTTGACTTAAAAGGGATCGTGATCTGTGACTGCTTTGCTGCCTCTGGAACTGGACAGCTTGGTATCACCCAGGGGAAAAGGAACTCCCAAGTCTGTCGAGGTATTTTAAGGATAGGGTTGTCGTCCAGTTGAAGGTCAGCAGAAGCTGGGTGACGCAGCAGGGTGATGGCATTAAACATTAGCAAGTAAATTTACTACAAACTGGCTTCAAAGAAAATCAGCCCTTCTAGAGGGGCCCATTCAGAGACCAAGCCTTCACCCAACACAAAGACATGTAAGACCAAGGCTGGGCTGAAGCCGTGCTGTGGGGAAGAATGACCCAAAGTTCCTCTTTTTCTCAACGTTCTGCAGGTTTGATCAACAGCTACTGTACCAGGAACACTTGTTTGAAGATACTGCTGAGACAATAAGGTATGACAAGTCATTAACTTCCAGGATTCACTTACTTTTTCCACCAATACTGTGAATTTATAAGGGATACATTCAACAACAGTTTGAAAAATTAGAAACGTTTGTGTGTTATCAGCTTATTTCCAAAGTATTCATAGACTTTTTTATATCACTATATGTAGATTAAATAAACATAAAAATATAAATTGCTACATTAGAAGAGTGCCACGATCAGACATGCATCAGAACTGTAAAAGTCTCCATCTGCTTCTGTCTGCAGAGTCACGATTTCCTGGAAAAGCTCTTTCTGTTCGTTGAATCACTGTTGTTCCCTGTGATTAGCGATGAGACCTGTGATGTGAGTGTACTTATTATTCACCACACCTTCTGATCTATATTTCACCTCATCCAGCTTTTCTGTGCGCTGAACCGAAATAGCAGGTGTGCTTGCCCGTGCCCACACAGTCCGTGCATCCATAACCTCCCACTCTGTGCTGGTCATGGTGCTTGCACCATGAAAACAGTGCCCATGTACTTCTCGTAGCAGCACCAGAATTATTAATAGCAGTGCTACTAATACCGAAGGTACCATATTTTTCTAACTGTATCACCCACAAAGGTCAGATTGCTCAGAATAAAACAGCTAATAAAGTTTTAGAGGTGCTACTAGTCCTGTTGTTAGGAAAGCTGCATTGCTGAAGTCATGATACAAGGTACTAGTAGTGTTAATGTATTAGAGCTGACCTGTTGTCCAGCCTGTGATTCTCCCATGATGAAGCGATCTCCAGGGCCGTCAGCAGCTACAAGTTAATGATAATGATGGTAATCAAGTTAATCATGAAAATTAGACCATGATCATTGATTTTTAATGTTCAAGTAACAGCCATGAGGACAGTTTGAATGTGTGATAATTTCCCTCCTTGTTTGTCAGCAAATAAATGAACATAAATCAACAGATGAATGCAGATGTTTAATGACATTGTCATGAATCCTGTTTTCTATCTGTGCATCTGATGTAAAGTAAAATATGAGGCAGTGTTAGTGGTCTCACCTCGTACAGCATAGCCATCTTTAACAGAGGCGGGGAACGGAGGAAGGTTATCTTTGGCATAGATGTCCTGAGCAAGCACTCGCCCCAAACCATCTGCAGAGGACAGTCCAAAACACTGTTCAGCTAAGTGCTAACCACAATAAAACAACAAAGCCCTCATTAGATTAGCAATAATACACTAGTGACTACAGTGTGTGTGGATACAGTACACAACAGAAGTGAGTGCACCTCTGAGTAATATCACTTAAATGTTAAATGATTAAAAATGGTATCACTTCTAAATAACTGCGTTGTTTCTAATGTGACAACCTGTGATCACTGACACACAAGTCAGAAAACCTGTGATCACAGATACAAAAGTGAGAACATCTGTGAATTCTAATAAGTCAGAATACATAAATGAACATTTGGGCTGCATCCATCTGCATGTTTGCATCATGGCTCCACATAGAAAAGAATTGTCAGAGGAAATGAAAAGTCTGATTGCAGGACTTCACAAAGATGTAAAAGAATATCTGAAGATTAATGAATTAAACATTTGTAGAAACACAGTTGTAGCAGTAATCAGAAGGTACCAAATGAGCCATAGTACCACAGTTTGTGTGACAGCTCAGACAGTGTGAAGGACAATTCATAACATTAACGTCTATGGACAGCATCCTGGAAAACCCCTCTTGCTTGCTGCTCAGTATAAGAATATTAGATTAAGCATTGTTAAAGAAATGGAAAGAAGCCTAATGAATACTGGCAGCACATTCTTTTATAAATGTATTGGACTCAGATGGGGTCCAGCAGCATGTTTAGCATCAACCTGACCAGGACTACCACAGTGACTGCATAGTCCTGACAGTAAAGCACACACATGGGAGGAGTGTGGTGAGGTGGGGCTGCATGAGAGCAAAAGGTGTTGGAGAGATTAGATTTACAGAAGGCACCATGAATGCCTGGATATACCAAAAGTTCTGGCTAAGCAGATTACTCCCAGTCTGCAGAAGCATGACAGAAGAGGAATATTCCAGCATGATAACCATCCAAATCAAACTGCCAAAATCACACTAGACTTTCCAAAGAAGAATAAAGTAAAGCTATGATCTGAACAAGTATGTTGCCCGACTTAAAGTCAATTGAAAATCTTTGGAGTATTAGATTGATTTAGAGACTTGGATTGTTTTACATGTACAACAAAGGAAACAGAGAAGACATGCATATATTGTAGACAGACAAACACACACCTTCTGGCGACCCACCTCTGTAGTTGATGACTTCGATCCCCAGAATAGGTGTCATCTCTAGAACAGTGATAAAGGCTTTGTCCATTGATGTCAGTGGAAACGGGGACATGCGGTGACGACGTGCCACTTTGCTGATGTCAACTGCACTGTGGCCTGCGCAAACGCAAAACACACAATTAAAAAGAATTGGTGTGAGTCAATAGGGAATATGCTTCTACAAACAATACCATAAAGTTTCTATGTTGTACACTGTGCAGGCTTCTTTTGTAAAGCCGGTATGTTAATGAGACACACACACACACACACACACACACACACACACACACTCGAACACAGTAAACTTACTGGCTCTCAGAATGTTCTCATTACTGCCACATCGTGACTGAACCTGCAGGGAGACAGACAGATATTCTATATTTGGTCATTGTTTGATGCAAATGTGTGTAAGGAGTGATCATACACCACAGTTCCATAAGAGGATAGGCTTTTATGTTGATTTATCTATTAATAGTTTAGTTTTATACAGAGGGCAAGGAAACATAAAGAACATGAATTGTAGTCTAACAGTCACAACAAACATGTCTTTGTCTGACTTCCTGATTGTGCAGAACAACACAGGGTTATTGTTGGAACATCTTGGGTTATCATCTCAGTCTTACTGTTGAATCACATGTCAGATATGAGCCACTGTGTCTCATCCATATCTGCTATGATGAAAGTTTCTTTCCTAATACAGCTTCTGTCAAACAGTTTGTAAAAGCTGTGACGACATGTTACTTTTTCCACGTATGACGTGTTCATGCTGTAATTCATCGTTGTGTTTTTAATTCTGTGCTCTGTCAGCATGTTTTAAAAGCTGTGTCTTTGCCTTGGTTTGAAAATAATAAAAAAAAACTTCAGTTTCCTGGTAAATAAAAATGAATACCATAAATTCTACAAGACTAATGCCATCAGTACATCAGAGTTACATCATACTCACCACCTTCCTGCTCTGAGTTTCTAGCTTTAACAGAAACACAGTTGTCCATATTCTAATTCATTCCAATCACCTCTACCTTTATACTTTTTCATCTCTGTCAATGAAACACTAACCTGTGCATTTCAAATTAAAATTCTACTAAAGAAATGGAGAATTATTCCACACACTTTAAAAGGTTTCAAGCTTTGTGTCGTGTGTAGTATGTGTTGTTTCTGCCCTGTATCTGTGCACAGCCTGGGGTAGGTGTGCACACAGTTAAAAGATCATCAGATATTGAAGTGATTGTTCCATTTGAGCCACAGGAAGACGTTAACTTATCAAGGCAAGTGTCAAGCTTCAGCGAAGGCACCTTAATGACAAATGAAAAAAGTGAGGAGTGGAAGTGACTGGAAATAATTTTCAAACATTGTTTGTGTTCGAAATGAGGAACTCAGACCAACATAGCGGTAAGTATGATATGACTGATGCACTGATCCAATCGACAGGTAAACACTGAGGAAATGCTGAGTTTGTGTTAATAGCAAAAGACATCAACAGCAAATTAAAACAGGAGGTCAGTGAACAGGGTGGCTTCATTCTCAAAAAAAAAGAAAAAAGGAAAAAAAAGACGACAAAATCTTCTTGTAAATGGGGTACATTAGAACTAAATCCTGTCTGTTAAATATGCCTGTTTCTACTGAAGGCGTCAGTAAGTAAACAGTGTTGTAATCTAAAAATGACCTTAAAGACAATTCCAGCATAATTTGAGTTTTCACATTTTTTCCATTTATAATCCTTTGACTTACATTAATTGGGACAATTTTTACATGTACATAGCACAACTGAAGATATTTACACATCAGCTTTGCCAAACCTCACAGTCCCATTCACTCCCATTCAATTCCAAGCAACACACAAGTCCCGAGACTTTAATTTGCTAAGTCAAGGTAACTGTAACTGTGACCGAGAGGCAGACAGTTGTGTTTTGTGAAAATGAATCAGGATGACAACATCCGACCACAAACTTTTACATTCGGCTTTGTATTGATAAATACATTTGACAGCCAAATTGAGAGAGAATTGGGAGTTCCATTTGATATATACTAACATATATACCCTTTGTAACAGTTTTGTAAGTGATCAAGATGGTTACACTGGGACCTGAAAAAAATCTCACAATAATTGGAATGGAATCAAATTGACAACCTCTTCTTTTCTGGGAGTTTGTTGTAATTAGTGACAAAAACATTGAAAATAACGTACAGTGAAAGAAGGAGTTTTGGGAAAAAGGCAGAAACTCTAATCATGCAGGAACTGTCTATTGATATTTTTTTTAAAATGGGGAACTGTTGGGACATCACCAGTAAAGCTACATTTACATATATTTGGCATGCTCTAGGAATCTTGCAAAGCATAGACAGGAAACTTGAAATTTCATGCAAAGTGACACATGTTTTTGTAACCGTTTCTATGGCTGAAAGTGATTTGAATTTTCAGCGGGTCTAATTTGCTAGCGCTCATTTCTGTGTGTGTGGATGAAAGTTTGTGTGTACCTTAGGTGTCGGGCATGAGGCGGTGGAAAGGCGGGAGGTTGCCTGTGTTGCCCGTGGTGACTCGGAAGGGGTGGAGCTTAAAGAGGCCGAATCTCGAGGAAGCACCTGAACGCCTCGAGAAATGATCGAGTCCGGGATCTACACACACATACACACAAACACACACACACAACACACACCCGCACACACAGACACACTTAATGCTAGTCAAAGAATTTTCTTCAGTTGTTTTACAGTGAGCTAAAACTGTGGCGACTACTGTAGTCTCACCGTTCAACTAGCAAAGCAACAAACTCTTATCACTTCAACATACCGCTAAAATAAATAAGGGAGTGGCACATTTTGCTCCTGACTCTGAAATTATGTAAAGTGAGGAATCTGATGACCACCTGTGACTTCATTGGGACTTTGACGAGATTAAGTCTGAATCTAATAAGACTGCTGAATGTTTTTATCAGTGCTGTATATTCAGACTAATTGGTGGTGACAAAATATATACGTGTGTGTGCTGTTTGCTGTCATCAATCTTATCTACTGATGTACAAGATTTGTACAAGACTTGTACAACATTACCTGATTACTGATTACAGATTGGTTGGTGTTACAGAGGGTGTGAAGGCACAGCAAAATGTGTACAATGTCTTTTCAGCGTTGGATTTTCTTGGCAGAAAATCAGACCGTAGGGAGCGGGGACTTCATGTGATTTAGGAATTCAGTGTGTGGCACATTCGAATGGGGGTAAACAAAGTCTGTGTTTCGCTCAAATCTACTGAGCAAATCCCTGACCAACGGATTATCTGCAGATACAATTTGATCTCACTTTCTTTCAATAGGTCTTTCAAACGCACCCAAATACTATCAAAGTTCTCTTTAATGGATTTCACTGTAGCTTTTTATTCAAACGGAAAAGGGGGAAAAAAGGGCTTAAAGCTCTGCGTCTGGAACAGAAATAGTAGGTCATTTGAATTGGAATTACAGACACACTGCATACATACAGCGGAACATTTGAGTGGGATTAAGAACAAACAACCTCTGCAGTTTGTAAAATCACATGAGCACTTCAGGTAAATCTGGTTTCAAGTGAACAGGGCTTAAATGTTCTCCCTGATGGACTGCAAAAAGTTCCAAGTTGTAGACAAGATGCGTTTCATATGGCTGTTACAACCCCACCACACTGCAATGAACTGAAATCAGTGGCTTCCTGGAAGGTAGAAAAATACATTGCATGTTTTGGCAATGTCTCCTCAGTGATAGAAAGTTGTTTGAGTTATTATATTGCAATCAATTGGCAAAAACATACAAAAATTCTGTTGTGAAGAAAATGTAAAAAAGTTTGACCTGGTGTTGGCAGGATGATTTGCTGAGTGACATCAGGATCAACCAGTAGTCAACAAGGAGGAATTACAAATCAGTCATGAGTGGCCTGAAGTGTCCGGCATCCCTTACGGATGATTTCATTTCTATGTTCTCATGACTAAATTACCAAGTTTGCGACTGGACAATTTTTTATACCAAAACTTTTTTCCAGCTGTTTTGCTGCAAAGTAAATAGCTATCACACCTACAAACTGCAGCTTTCAACCACCAACATCTCTGCTGGTTCTACAGTCAGGGCGGCCCTGTTCTTCATATATGCCTCAGCTGTTCCAGGTTAACATGTCAGCCAGCTAGAAAAATGTCATTCATTCTTAATAAAGTAAGAACTAAAGGCAACATGAGAGGAAAGTCAAAACCGTGATTGGCACTCATGATTGTTTCCTAAACTCTTCTGTCATGGTTTGTTGGACAGACACGCCCCTTTTTAATTTTTTATTTTTTTTTAATGGCAATTGCATATTGGTTGTCTTCAAGCTGAGAAACCTGCTGCAATAATAATACTCAATACTTTAATATTCATACTTGCTGACTGTTTTAAGTATTATTTGACTTTTCAAGCCACTTCAGGGAAGCAGGACAAGCTGATAGATGTGAACTTGTTAGCAAACAGTTGCCTATTTACACATTCAGTCGACACAGAAAAACATTAGCATCTACTTGGGCTCTCGCTTGTGATGATGTCAAGCATTTAACGCCACAGATTGGTTGTTTTGGCAGCTGCCACTATTCTCACCATCCCGTCATGTGTGGTGCTGGGCAAGAAGCAAACAGTGGGTTTGTCTGAGGTTTATCAGTCTGAAGAGCTGCCTGATGCTGAAATTGAGCTTGATGTCACTCATCATAACACAAACGTTGCGAGCTGTAAAACTAGAATAATGAGCAGATAGACAAGAACCATGTGCAGAGATAAAAATTTAGGATGCTGGTTCCTGCTACATGCAAACCCTCCTCACTTTACATGTGTGCATTTCATTAACATAAAACTGTTGATTTAGTGTCCTTTAAGCTTAGTAATTCTCATTTATATGCTGTGAATATTGAAATAATGTTGGATTTTTAACTTTTGTTCTGTTATGCTGGAAAATTTTACAACATCTAAGCTTAAAATGTTGATAGGTTATCAAAAGCACCTTAATATTTATAGTGATTCTGTTGTGATCAACAGTCACATGACAAAAATTCAGGAACTTTTCAGCAGAACTAAGTTGAACTGCAGGCTGTGTTTACACAGAGCAAATCAAAGACAAGTATTAAAACAAATCTAAGTAGTAAAATATCTATAGCATGTGGAGATAATTTGTTCCAGCATAGGTAATAACTGGGGGCACTATAAAAATGTTGGACATGTTCAGTCCCGTTCTTTTTTTTTTCAGTTAAAAAAAACAAACAAAAAAGTAATTCAACTTTCATTTTCCAATTTCAGCCACTATAACTGTGTCATACTGCACAGAAGATATTTCTGAGCTCTCTCTACTTCTAGCATGGTTGTGCTTCTTCCATAAAGGTGTAGAACTTTATACTGCAGTAAAAAATGAGCCTCCAGTGAGTAAAAAGGTGAACAGGAGCAAAAAATTGCAAGAAAGTGCCTGGGTTTTTAGGGTAAATTTATCAGTTACTATATATATATGCATATAAAATCGTAATTATATCAACACGTACTGTATTATATTGATAAATTAGGAGGAGGGTGACTGATATCTAAAAATCTGCTAATGTATATGGTTTAACTTGAAAACCCTTCATCCAGCTCACTGTGAAAAGGCCTGCTCTTTTTTAAGATTTGGTCTACCAACAGCTCCAAGTCAATTTCAAGATACAGAAAAACTGAAAAATCCAGGATTGTTCTCAAATTATCCACAACCAAATCAGGCTAACTCAGTTATAAATGTATGAAGAACAGGGCCCTGCAGTGTGAGACTGACAGACATGATGGACTGACCAATGACAGGAGGAGGACAGGTGTATGTGTGAGTGTCTCACCTGCTGGTCATGAGTACAGGAGCAGGTGAAATGAGAGGGAGGGGCGGGTGTGTTGCCAGGCAGGTAGGGACCCCCCTTAGCCATGACCACAGCATGGCTTGTCTGATGGACACATACACACATGCAGGCATGCACACACGTATACGTACACACACAGACACACAGACAGGTGATTGAGATGAAATGATATGAAATTACAAAGTGTCGACATCGTCATGATTAACTGGCTGCTCCAGAACACGTGTGTAATTATTATCCAACTCTGGATACTAATGACTGAAACAGGCAACGACCTTGATTCACATTATCTTCGTTCAAACAAGTGTAATTCTCCCGAGTGGAGTAAGACCATTTCACAACACCCACAGACCCACCTGATTAGTATACAAATGTTGAGAAGCTCTCTTTTTAATATGTGAAACACAAATAAACAAAGGCATTTCAATAGGTTTGGTGTTGGAGTTTGTGTTATTCTGGATTCTATGCATATTTGTTGCCATGTGGTTCCAGGTGTGATCATGTACATGTGATCTGTGATATTTTGATAACATTTCATCACAGGCTTTTGCAGGTAAACACGATCGAAATAAACATTCTCATATAGTTTCTATTGTTCCAATTTTATATTAAATCACAATGTGCCAAAGAGGTAGACAGAAGTGGCACATTTGTCACCAAACAAGGACCCTGACAGCCCTGCGTGATGCGGCGGTCCACAGGACAAGGGTCGCCTGGCAGAAGGAAGCTGAAGGCATCTGTAAGCTTCTTTTTCTTTAGTCTTGCTAACTTTTCTGATATTAATTAATTTGTGTTCAGATGAACAACAGCACCACGTAGGAAGAAGAGTTATCCGAGAGTATTAAAAAAAAAAAAACGATAGAAAAGACAAAGCAGGGTCATCTTCTAATTTACCCACAATGCAATGCAACACTATCTGACAAGGTGCTGAAGTGGTCATTACTGTACAATGTGAAGAGCGTATTACTAGCACTCACAAAGGTGAAGTAAGGTCACTATTTAATTTAGTTTTTAAGCATGCTGTCACAGTGTATGTCCTGCATGTGCCTGACATCCGCCAGCAGTCCCAGCCAGGCCACCTGCAGATGTGGCCAGACTGATAGAATCACATTCGGTCTGCAATGTGTTCCGGCATACAGCATGTTTTTAATTGTCTCTAAACACATACCGCATATTAGTAAGTGTGAATGTCGGGGCTAACAGTAACAGGCCATAATTTAACTAGGATCCCTTTCCTACTGTGAATGTTCATGATACTATCACAACATTTATATTTGAAATTCAAATAAGACACCCTGGCTTCATGAGGAGCCCTGCTGTCTAGTTACTTACTACTAATATGTGGATTTGTTTAGAGTCCTGCAGCAGCCTATAGCATCTGAGCAGCATCTGTCTATAGTACAGTAGCCCGCTGCTGCAATGACCCAATTTCCCCACAGTGATCATTAAAGTTTCATCTGTCAAGTTTCCAGCAGCAGTAGCACTGGTCTTGGTATGTCCTGTCGACTGGTTACCTTGGCAGCGATAGCGGCTGCGGTGATGTGGGAGGAGCCATGCTGGTGGTGGTGGTGGTTGTGCGCATGTCGACCTCTCCTCCGGTCCTCCTCCTCATCCTCCTCCTCTTCCTCGCACTGGGTGCCACGCTCCATGGTGTGTGTGTTAGAGTGCGTGTTGGTGTGCGTGTTGGCCAGCAGAGGAGAAGGGGATGGCAGCTGTTCCAGGGCGGCGTGTGTGGACTTAACCCTGACCGTGGCCTCACGCAGCAGGTCGATGGCATGAGGCAGAGCTGGCAGAATGAACTGAAAACACTCCTGGAGAAAACAACAGAGTGTCATTTAGGAGCATTTTTAACCAGTAACCAAAGACAACCACCAACATCATCACTGTGCCAAGTTAATATTTAGCAAGTGTCATGTAGGTGTGATAAATGAGAAGGCAAAATCTGTGCTTTTCGCATTTCAACACAGGTCTGGGGTTTGATGTATTATTTCCTAATCTGTCGCAGTAGCTGGACTGTTATTGCTACATGTTTCCTATTCATATCATGTGCTAATCACTATGTACAGTAGATACCCTAAAGCTGCATGAACTGACCAACTGCAGAACAAGCTGAAAACTCGACAGCGACATGTTATTACCTTTAATAGACCAGTAGATACAAAAGAACACTACCATGCGTTTGGGGTCATGTTTGTGTCCACATGATGAATGTTAACTTGTTAACTTTTCTTTTAGCTCTGCTCTCTCCTAAAGGCCAATTCATGTTTTTCACATCCATGTACACATTTGCAAGAGTACATGCTTTCTATTGACGGAGTCCAAACACAGTAGTAATGCCTAATTTCTCCAGAAATCCTGCCCTACGTCTGCCCTCTGTGCTCGGATCACAACAGGAATGATCACAACAACGAGGTGCTACAGCCTAATCTGTAACCAGCTGCTACATTCCCATGTGTTAGATGTGAGGATCAATAGGACTGTCCACATAGCAGACCACCATGTACCTATTGTAGCATGAATAAAACCGCCTAATTTTGAGTGCAGTTTTAAAACTGCCTTTATTAATATTTGTATGGTAACAATAGCTTAAAAGGTAATGTGTAAACTAAAAAGTATTGCTTTTTGTGGCAAATCTACAGAAACTGGCTGCAGGTCCAGGTCTTTTCTCTCCGATGAGAAAGTCCAAAATGTGTGCCCTAAAAAGCACAGATTTTTATCATATTTCATTTTTCTTTAAATAAAAATCATTTAAAACCCAATTAACATATATTCCTTTTAAAAGAAGATGCATGCCAAAGTTTGGACCCCTTGGCAAATGACATACTTTGTTAACTTTTGAAGTGAAAAGTAGATAAGACAACACCTACAGCAGTTTGTCATATGTAGCATTATCAACATTATCAGACACATACATGGAAATAGATTCCCATAAGTAACATGTTAGCATAGACTGTATGAGTTAAGATGTATGCAAATTTAGCAGAGTGTGAGGTGCAATCAAGAAGTTCCAAGTACCGAGACCTATGAAAACCAAAAGCGGTTCTTGATTTAAGATTGGTTGACATCCTCTTCCAAGTAGTCTTCCTGTGCACTGATACAACGCTCCTAGCAATACTGTCATATTGGGAACACTCCCTGGAAGTCCCATTCCAGAAGTGCCTCAAGAACAATTTGCAACATACACTCGATCTCCTCCTCTGTGTAAAAACGTACAGCTTTCAGCTTAAATTTTACTTTGGGGAAGAGAAAGAAGGAGACAAATCTGAGGAGTAGGTTGGGTGGAGAGTGATGATTGTGTGGCTGTGGAATAAATACTTGTTTTCTGTTTAATGTGCTGTGAACAAAAGTGTTAACATGATGACACAATTCAGTTTGCGTCAAATGTTCTACGTGAGACGGTTTAGGATATTACAGTGGAACACGCCATTTACTGTCTGAACATGAAGACCAAATGCATGGTCCACAACTCCGAAAGTGTCAAACAAAACTATGAGCGTGCTCTTGACCAGGCTGCTGAACTGATGTGTATTCTTCAGTCTTCTGCAGACTCTTCCACTGAATACAACTATTAGGTATCTGGCTTGTTACCTGCCATGATTCTCAACATGTAGGCCAGGTCAGTTTGAAACACTGATGTTTGCACAAGGTTCAAGGTCCACAGTAAAATCACAAACGTCTACCTGCGAGTGGTCAGAACAAGACTTCCATGTTGCTTTCCAAATGCGACAGGAGCACTCAGAGTGGTATATTGTTGCTCAAGAAGACTATTTAGCAAAGGATGGTGGATAAATATCAGTCGGATATGGTTTTTCACTTGTTGTAGGCACAAACTCAGAACTTTTTCATTGCACCTTTTACACAGGCAGCACAGTGACTAAAGTCAAAGAAGTGTACCTGGGAGCCCTTCTTGCTCCCTGGAAGGTTGATGATCAAGGTTTTACCACGAATGCCACAAACAGGCCTGAAAAACAATACAGAAGAAAGCCAATTAGAGCAGTACAGGATACCACACACTAATCTGGTTAGAATAGAGCAGATTATCAGTGCAGCCCCTGGTGTAGACATCATGCTTAACTGAGCAGTGAGAACAGAAAGTCTTCACCTGGATAGCATGCCTAGTGGTGTAACGTTGAGTGATCCCATCAGCATGGCTAGAGCCATACCCGGGGCCTCTCGCTCTATCACCTCTCTGGTGGCCTACAACACAATCACAAGAACTCGGTTAATTAAGAAATTTCAAGCACTTGCTTGTCCAAAATCATTTTTTTGTTTAATTAAGGGTATATCCTTTAGTTAATTTACAGACAGGGCTTCCTAGTTTAGTCTCTGAATGTCTTGTTTAAATCACAGTTACAAGCAGGTCTTGGTGTGTGTACCTCAGGTGTAACATCACGTGGTGCAAAGCCAGTTCCTCCAGTAGTGAGAATAAGATTCAGCTCCTGTTCATCGCACCACTCCAGAAGAGTTTCCTGTACACATATGAACACACACACAAAGTTAACAGCTAACCCCTGCATTATCTTAACCTATGGACCCAAAAGGCAGATGCAATAGACAGACTTTCCTTCAAAGAAACACCTGAGTTTAAACTTAGACGATGACAAACATCTACCTTGAGGGCTGTACAAAGAAGCAAAATTCATGGTTTTAGCTCAGTATGTTGAGCCAAAAGTCACAGTTTGCAATGACACTAAAGTGTCTCTCTATTAACCTGTTAAATCACCATGGTAACATATGCTGTGAAACGAACCTGCATGCAACTGAGGTTTTGTTCAGAGTTTCAGATTTAAATCGGCTGTAAGAAGCGTTTCCCTTTCACCAATTCGTTCCCTGACGTTTCTCAGCTGAGGGAACATGTTATATCATTAAACTTGTTGTGCTGTATGTTAGGAATGCCACTGAATGAAACGGTGCAGTTACTGTATCACACACTGTAAATTGTGTTGCCATGGGAAACCTACATGTATTTAGTTGGTGATGCAGAAATCACATAAATATGTTTTTATGTTTTACTCTGATTTGCTGTCAAATCCGTTTACACTGCTGGTACTGCAGCTGATAGAACACAGATTAGAAAATGGATTATTCTGCTGGTATTTATTACAGAGAAAATTCAATTAATAACATTAATTTCACTTGTATTCAGCCAAAAATGAAAGTGATGTCCTTAATATTGGGACCGTTTCGGACCTAAATGTACTTTTTTTTTTTTTTTTAATATTATGGTTAGATTAATGAAGCTTAAAGTTTCAGAGCTCTAATGTGCAGCTGTCAGTTAGAAATAAGCAGCCGAACTGAAAGCGCACTAAGCAGTAAAATAAATACATTAACATATGATTAGCAATGTTCCACCAGAATTTGTCTTTGCATCATTTGCAGTAGCAGCACTTTCTACTGTAATAAATTTCAATATCTTTCATAGCTCTCCATTTTAACAACCTGTTGACTGAAGTAGCTGCCACATCATTCGTGAGATGAGTCACATGATGCATCTTTTTATGTGAACACCCAAAGAAGTCGAAATAAGAAGGCCTGGTTACCAAAGAAAGTTGATCTCCACCGTCGTGGCAACCATTATCTCAGACTGAGAGTTTAGGTTTTGTTGAACCAGCTAACACAAAGAAAGCTTGGCTATTTCAAACTTGCTTTGCGGGAAACACCTCTGCTCAAATGTCCTCAAGCAAGACAATCCCTGGCTTACCGTTTGTCCACAGGGATCAAAACGGGGCATATTCATTGCATTAATTAGCTAGAACAGCGTTACACTGAAGAATGAAGACTGTACCGGTCGATGCACAGATGGTTCCTACCAGAGACTAGCAAGCAAAGGGAGGAATTTGATTGTTTTCATTCAGTGTTAAGGCACCACAGCTTGTACTGTTTCTTCTTCTGTGACAGAATAAAACATTTCTGGGTTCAGTGGGAATGTGTGTAAAGTCCAGACTGTTTTTCCAGATACTGTTAGGTGCCTCATAGACTGTGAGGGATTACACTGACAGTGAGCTCAAAGGAAAGACGATGTACCTTGATTTCATCGATCTCATCTGGAACAATTTTGTAGGCAGATATGACTCCTCCTAGTCTGCAGGAAGTGACAGAGTAACAGTTAGTGTAATGTGAGCTTGTGCATGTGTCTGTGTGTTTGTGTACACACCATAGAATCTCTGTGTGAACTTACAGTGAGGGATCATGGACCAGGTCCTTCAGGTTGACTCCACTCCTGTCCTCAGCCAAGTTCTTGAAGCAGCTGTCACTGACTGGAGAGGAGAGAAGTTCAGATGAGACCAGAACACCTCTGACAGGACAAACGACGCACTTTTACTGATTAGAAATTAAAAATAAAACTGATTCCTGACACACCTCCCTACAAAAAAAGTACAACCTAAGTAAATACTAATGAGACTCTTCGATGGAGTTTGACGTGTGTACACTGTGATTAATGTTATTATTGTTATTGCCCAGACTTTAATTTGAGGGGTTTTTACTCTTTATTCTAATTACAAGTTCACAGACCTTTCCACGCTGAAAAATGCAATCTATTTGATTTCTCAAGGGGAAACGGAGAATTCCATGTTCAAAAAATGAATAGTATTCACTGTTTTGTGTCTTCATGCTAATGCTGCAAGTGAAGGCTTCAGTTTATTGGGCACATATGAGAGCAGAATCAGGCATCTCATCTACCTTTTCCCTCCCTCCTTCACCTTAGCCCCAGCTGGTTGAGGCAGATGGCTGCCCTCCCCAAGCCTGGTTCTGCTCGAGGTTTCTTCCTGATAAAACAAAGTTTTTCCTCCTCACCGTAACCAAAGAGCTGCTCAAAGAGAACTGTGGGATTTGTCAGATTTCTCTCTTTAATATAATATTGTACGTTCTAGATCTGACTATGTGAAGGGCCCAGGGATATGTTGTGTTGAGAATTGGCATCACATACATAAAACTGAACTGAACCTATTTTTAGAAAGAAGGTGAATTTGTATCTTAGCAAAAACATATATTTTTTGTTTAGGGCAATATTAAATACAACTTTGAAAAACAATCCCAGAGTAAACTGAATGTGAGTCTATGTGACTTTTTTCAGGTTTTTTCGCCTGAAAGAAAACCAGAGATGACTGTCGCTGAAAACAGCAATTTGGCAAAAATGTTTAATGTTGAAAGACGTGATTTGGAACGTCATGTCTAAAGTCAAGCTTCAGCTCCATATTCACTGTGTGATAGATTTAAAACGTGTAATGTGTAGCAACCATGTAAGTCAACATTAAAAGCGGGACGGTCACACAAGAAAGAAGGCCACTGACACAACAGTTGAAACCCTGGGTCAGGTGCACTGCAAAGTGTTTCTGTCAAGTAATGACACTGATCACGAAGTCAGTCAAACCACAGCATGCATGCCTAAACCATCTACACAATGATCAATTGTTAAGCATAAAAAACCTGAAAGTTTTAATCTGCGTAAATTACATAAAATTTAATTAGTCTCATTAATTAATACCCACAGCATGTACATCCTACATTCCAGCCTTTGTAATTTGCTAGCTGCATTGTTTAAAATTCTGATTTGAAAACGAATCATTTTTTTTGGCCCAAACTGAAACTATCACTAATAAAAATTTCAGTTAAATGCCAAATTTTACACCCGATTACACTGTAAGGCCTTTAAAGTGACGCAGTCATTTTGCTGCCTGTCATTACTAGTCTCTGACACATGATTACAGAGACGGAGCTTCTTTTGAAACCATGCTGCACTGAGTTCAAGGACACTAATGTTTAGAGATCATCTAAACTTTGGTATCTGGGTGAGCGTTGGGAGGGGGCTATTCAGATACAATGTAAGGCAATCTGCAAGTATTTGGCAACAGATTCTGGCCCATTACAGACTCTCAGTTTCAATTAATTTCAAAGTAGCACAGCATGAACATACTTGAGACTTCTTTTTCAACTTTCCAAGGGATATAAAGGGGGAACTTTAGCTCTGGACTGAGAGCAGCTGTTGATGTATGATTAAATACAATGAACCCTCACAGAAACAAGCATGTGTTAGAAATATGATGTTTCAACACACTGTTCAGAGTTCGTTTAATCACTTTGCAGCCTTGCAATCATCCGATTAGCTCCACCGTATACAACTGTTTTTTTAAAGACATACAAACAATCCAGTATTTTCGATACCACCTGATTCCCTCAAAATCAGCTGATGTTTTCTATAATTACTTTAGTATAATCTTGTTTTTGTTCACCACTTTTTTTTTTTTCAAACAACATTGAGCATCCATATTATTGGATATATCATAGTTTCAATAGCAAAACTGCACCAGGTTAGTATCTGTGACATACAGTCATAAAAACAAGCATTGGTATTCTGGATGAGTTATGTGTTTTCAGATAATTCACCAGAGAAAACTTTAAAAAGAAAAATTTGGGTAACCTATTAAGGATCATATCAGCATGTGGGATAGGTGGTTGGATAAAACAAATTATGACGTTTCATTTTTACATACATTTCGATACCAGGAACATCTTCTTGTGATGATTCCTTCTGTGCCTAAACACATTTCTATTATAGTCATATTTCAACATTAATGAATATAGCTTACGGCTGTGAAGTAGAGAAACAACATTGATGTTCACGTGTTTTATACAACAGGTTGGACAAATCACATTGCTCAATTGTGTAATGTTCAGTGCTTGCTGGAGTCTTTATTAAATTGTATTCTAATAGTGTTCAGTTCTTGTTCTGTTTCTGCTGTCAGATTGTGAACAGTGATCATGTGAGAAATTCTACATTTTGTGAATACCATATGGCTATATTAGAAGAATGGCACCTGGAGTGGATTAAATTGGTTTAATTGCAGCTGTTAACAGAGCCCATGTGTGTTTTTCAGTCCTAAAAAACTCCATGTGTCTATCGCCGGTACTACTAAAATTGTGAGGGCTCAAAAAAGCTAAAACAAAAATTAACGCGAAATAAAAAGCACAGAACATCCACCCAGGCTTATGTACTCTGAGGGCCCGCAACCTGAAAAACACTCATGGTATGAAGGTACAACTTTGCAAGGCTTCATAAATATTCTAAAGTTATTGCATAGACGAATATTTGACAGAATCAACTGATGAGCTTATTGTAATATTAACAGACAGGGTGAGAAGCCAACTGTGTGACCTGGAACAGTGCACTGATTGCATATGTTTTCTGATATACGATCTCTCCAAGAGGAAAGTAAATTTTACTTGCATGTGCACCTTTAAATGTATTCACATTTTTGTACAAAACATGAACATGATGCCGTCTACATAGTTTTTCAGCCCAGTTTTTAAAGCCATAATAACATTTGACAAAAAAACGCAAACAATTTTTTTTTACATAAGCATGGAAAAATAAAAATATACTTTTCGATAGATAGATAGATAGATAGATAGATAGATAGATAGATAGATAGATAGATAGATAGATACTATATTCATCCCCATCAAGGTATCCAGTAGCTCACACATGTTACATACAAGACAGATAAAGGAACAATGTACAAAAGAGCATGTAACTGGCATGCAAATCATGCTGGTCGAAGAAATAGCAATAAGGTGCATGATATTTTATGGTTGAAAACTGAACTTGTGTTCCTTTGAGGGATTATCTATGTGATTAACTAATCTTGACCAGAATTTAATATGCATTTGGTGCGCAGGTGCATATTTACAGCATCATGCTACTGTACGTCAGCAGAATAAACTGCAGGGGCTGTCAAACAAACAGAGTTCTGGATACATTGTTTGACTGGGTCTTTTAAAGGAGTTTGTGGGAAAAAAAAAATGAAGACAACCACTCACTCCCTTTTTGGTAAGGCTATGGCCGCTATTTGAAGATTTCCCTGAAGTATTTCAGTTCAGGGGTCGACCAATCAGATCAGATCTGATATCCTGCATATTTCTGGTTATCTGTACCATTTTTTTTTTAACCAACTCCAAATCAAATGAACTAAATGTGGTTTTTGAGCAACGTCCCACCCACAGCACTATGTGACTGGTTTCACATCATGAGAAAATAGCCTATCAATAATCAAGCATAAAGGTGCAAAGTTCACTTTAAACTAAATATGTACAACAGGAATAACTGAAGGTATTTCAACAAAGATTTGTTTTTCTTAATTCTGACATCAGGAATTTTATGTTTGGTGCAAATACATATCAGTTGTTAATAATAGTTACTGGTCTCCTTGATTACCACCGATCGACCCCCATTTCAGTAAGATTTCACACACCTTGTACAGAGAAGCTTAATCCAAGCTCATTCTTGGTCATCACAATAGACAAACACAAGCTGCTTTTCTCCAACACTGATTCAACAATGGCTGGCAGACCCACCACTTCATTCTCAATTATCTGACATTTTCAAAAACCTTTTTGCCATATAAGCTAACCTAACATCTCACGGATCCATATTTCACCCTGAAGCTGACCCACTCCACTTAAAATGTCTTCCATAGTAGGTGTGTGTAAGAACACGACAACCCACCCAGTCCCACACACAGCACATGAATGGGCCGTGAACGTGTGTTAACATGTGACAGGAGGTTGTGCTCGTCAGCTGGACGGACAGCGGGCTTCGCTGCTGTTAGCTCACATGCTAGCTCATCAAACCACGACAGCTGCTGGCTCCATCCTCTTAGCATTATTCTCACGTCTCCCCCTGTCTTAGCAAGGAGGCAGCAGAGCTACTGGTGACTGTCACACCGCTGTATACTGGTCCCAGTCCTGCTGCACGACTCAGAGCTGAGCTCATCTGAGGAGCTGCTCCAACAACCTGCACAGCAGCATTCATTTTGCCTCAGCGCTGCGCCGTGCGCTCCAATTTTAATAGTCAACCACTGGCACGATCTATGATTAATAAATTCATATTTTTTGCGTTGAATAAAAACACAGACATTAAGCCCAAATGGAGCGACTGTCAACAGAAATATTCAAGAAGTGCTAATAAAAAAACATCTTCAATTGCGGTCAACATATCGGATCTGCAAAGGGACATGAATAATGCAGCTCGTGTAGGCTCGGTAACGCTACATTGCTAGAAAATATAATGTTCCCCTGCTGCGTCAAGTTGGAAACTTCAAGCACAAGCAAATGGGAAGAACATTGGCTGTGCTTTCGAAATAAAAGCGCCAGTTTTTGCAAAAACTCATCGCAACTCGTGCTCGCTCGGAACACCTCGCCCTCATTTTGAAAGTCTTCACCGCTCGCTCTTCTCTCTTCTGTCTGGCTTAACGCTGAGATAAAATATATCACTATACTGTCGTTCAGGTAAAAACACGGCGCTGAATTTGACAGCAAGTCTTCACATGTACATGTACACGTACCAACACTGAATTGCACATAACCTACTTTCGACACGAACACCACATCTGTCCGAGCTGTCAGAGCAGGCAGCCTGCACGTTAGTGCAATACAAGTCAACGGAACCGGTTAGCATGCTGGCTAACGTTAGCTAGCTCTGCAGCGAAGACAGCTCGTATCGTGACACGGACGTGCACAGGCAAGCGAAGACCAAACGGCACTGAGGGGCACCGTTAAGAAGCATTTTGTCGTATTTAATCAAACAGTCTACTTACCTGTCAGAATCCCCACTCGAGTCTGATGGTCGTGGTTGGTGAGCACCATCCCGTCCGCCGCCATGTTTACAACCTCTGTCTGCACTGTGACGGCACATACATAGAAATAGAGCGGTGGTGGTGGTGGTGTGCGGGCTGCTGCTGCTGCTGCTGCTGCTGCTGCACCTCTGGAGGACGGCTCCGCTGTGTGTATGTACTTGTGTCCTTTAGTGTAAATGTCCTCCAAATAATAAGATTTGGGGCTCCAGTCTCTGCCCGTGTTTCTGGAGGACCACTGCTATTTAGTGACAGTCCCAGATGAGTTATGTGACCTCTGAGTGAAATATATCACATTGACCTAATAGTGTGGTCAGTCATCAATCAAAGCTTCAATCGAAACTTTGACAAGGTAGAACCTGTTTCTCCCAATAGCAGAAAAATGGCATTAATACACCTGTTTATTATTCATTTTTATGCAGACATTTGTCACCTAATGAGGACAGATTATCAGACACATGTGAAGGTTTGACCCGAGGAAGCAGGCAGCTGACCCCATGGTTGGGCTCTGAACAGTCTTCTGGGTTGTTGCCATCCAGGTGTGTGACGGTCTCAGCGTTGATGGGTTAAACTCAAAGAGGACAATCATTTTTCTGCCCTCTCAATTCACCTTATAGACTACCGTATCAATCCCTGCATTGTTCTGTTTCCTACATGCTGGTAAAGCTAGAGTTGCCTTCAGTACCTACTTTCTGTCCTTTCTTGTGTGGCTCTGAGTCAGAATCTAAATTTAATACTTTTCCCCCCTATTTATATTACACCCATTATAATTCCACAGACCAAGTGTCATAACTTACACTAGCGGTATTCAAGCCAACCTGATGAGTTTCCAAAAATGTGAACACAATCCAGATAAAATGAGAGGAAAGGGTCAGTAGGAGCCCCCAGCGCTGTTTTGCCCGAGGCCACCGGGCCAGCTAATCCGGCCCTGACACACACGGTGAACAGCTTTGAACATGTGATAGGAGGTTGTGCTTGGATGAGCAGTCATCATCTCCCTTAATCTCTTCTTTATGGCTACATTAGTCTGAACATTTAAATTATTTCTATGGAGGTCTGAAATAGTGTTTTCCACCAAATTGAAATATTACAGCACAACCTGGGGGGACCTCTGCCGAGCACTGTGGTAGTGTAACACGCCCTGGAAGAAGGATCTACAGTTTGTATCATGTGATGGATGTGTGACAGTGCATGGTGACTGGCTCGGAAATCAGCCAGCTGATAGACACGACATCCATTTAGTCATTACTACAATAGAAAGACCTTGCTACGGATCATGTGAAGGAGGAGGCTGCTGTGGATCCAGGATGCTCTGCTCCACTGCTGCCGGGACACGTCTTCATTTTGACCTGTGACATTTCAATGCAAAGACATTTCAAAGGCCATTAATGCCATTTTTAAACATTTCAAGCTTTTTTGTATTTCTCTGCAGTCCTAAGAAAGTTTTCTCCTCAATTGATCTTTTTGGGGGTATATGTGTAACAATTACTAATAAAAAATATAAGTCAGTCATGCTCATGTAATGAAATCATAGCCCTGTTTATGACTATATGATGGACTGCATTTGAATTTAAGATAAATTAATTGCTATAAGCCATTCTAAAATTTCATTTTAACCAACTAAATCGTTTTATTCATCAATGTGATCCAATGATATATCAATGAAACAAAATTCATCAGACAGGTTTCCATCTCCATGATTTCATTACCATAGTGAGTAAAGCTAAAATGATAAACCAGTTTTCAGTTATTACACATATATAGCTATAACTATATATATAGGCTGATAATTTGCAAGAAAACTCACTTCAAAATGTCAAATTCTGCCTGAAGTGACTTCGGTTTGTCACCATGACATCGTGTGTCCACCAGAGAGCACTGTCAGGGTGATTCCTCAACTGTGTGTGCACTGTATTGATCCCAGTGGAAATTAAAACAATGTTATGTGTTTAAATTTAAAAAAAAACAAAACAAAACTGTTGGCCAATGTATCATTATGTGAACCCATGAATAGCGATATTAAGCCTCAGTGGTGACTACAAAAATAATACAAAAGTGAACATCTTTATAAGAAATCCAAACTACATGACTTGTGAACTTCAACACATGTACAATAAAGTTGTGAATAGTTCCCACTATATCATGCTTGTACCAATGGTTTATGAACTATGTTATAACTGGTCATTTTCATTGATCTCTGAAACTGTCACGGGGGGACATCGGGGAACCCAGGTGCGGACACAGATCAGGCAGACAGGCAGGTTGAGTGTGAAAAGGATTTAATAAACGAGAAGTAAAACTGAAAGAAAATACAAAAGTCCAAACTAAACTGAGTGGAAAACAGAATGGGATAAACCAGACTAAATTCAACAAAAGGACAAAGCTACAAAAACCAGGGAAAAACTCAAAGCTATGAGGGGGAAAAACCCTAATGAATTCCAAGATAAAAAACTAAGTTACTCAAACAAGCGGGGGCACTCACAAAAGGGGACAAAACTGATGGGGCAGACAGGCTCGGGGAGTCCAGGGTGAAACTGGTGGCAGGAGAAAGCTGACTGGGTGAATGCAGGCTGGAAACAGAGCAGAGACTGAAAGAAACAAGCAGGACAAATAGCTACGGTCTGGCAGGGTGTGGTGGAATGAGCAGAGTCTTTATAGGAGCAGTGGTGATTGTGTGCAGATGAGTCTGGAGTTGCAGCTGAGGGTGATTGTCCTGATTAGTGCCGAGATGCACAGAGGCAGAGCGGGAGAGAGACAGACAGAGACAGAGAGGAGGGAGAAGAGAGGGAGAAAAAGAGGAGACAAGCAAGGGCTGGGCCTGAGGCCGGGGGGTCATGACAGAAACAATCTTTGCTGCTCTTTCTTACCAGTTTTCTCAATCTTAGTCACATGGGGTCCAATCTGCTGCTTATCTCTCTGGTTCTGTCTGTGCCCCTTCTGTTCTCTGCCACAAGTCCTTGAACTTTTTAAAAATACATCCAACAGTGAAATGTGCGGATTCGGTGTTTTGCTGATCGGAAAAACTGGGTGTCCCTCTTTGTACAAACAAATGACGCTTGACCTTTTTCCTGTGAAAACTTCACTTGTCTTTGTAATTTTTGCATTTGCTGTTGATAGTGGATGTATCCCCCTATATTCACACAGGTGCATTTAGAAGGATACAGTTCATCACATTTCATCAACATCATAGATGATTTAATGCTGCCATGTAGAGGCACTGTTTCGCAAGTGACAGTTTGATTTAGTTATTTTAGTAAAAATTATATCTTTAGAGTTGTTTTCTAAGTGTTTCTATTGATCGACTACCAGTTTAAGTTTTTTTTTTTGAAACAGCAATATTGTGAATAACCTGCTGATGACCAAATATAAAAACGCTTCGCTCCGTTCTTCACTGAGGTTACACTTTCATGAGTAAACAGAGATCAGTGACATTGTGTTTTTCTCAGCTTAAACTCAGAACTTCAACCTTCGATCAGATGAAAGGATCCACAATAGGTCTTTTTCACAGCAGAGATATTAGCATGTGTGTTAATGATTGCTCCATTTAGTGGAGGTCCAGCTGTTGTAAAGGCTCAGTGTCATGGCTCACTGGGACACTCCAAAGAACTGAGCCATTGTTACTGAAATTTGTTTCTCCCGTGCAATTCCTACGTTGATACGTCAAAGTGTCTGCTGTGAAAAAGTCTACAAGTGAAAGCACATATGTGCAAAGATTTTGGGGGGTATCATAATTCTAGCATTTCTCATAATAGTGACTAATGCACACAGTCCTTTATACTTAACCAAGAAAAAGTATTATTAATGATAACACCATATTAATTATGAAGACTTACTATTTAACTTCACAATGAATAACAGACCATCCATCCCTCTGAATAACTTCAGAGTTGTCTAGACATCCCTCCCCTCTCTGCTCAGTCCAACCAACTCTGTTGTGTACAGTCGTTCCTAAAGCTCTTTTCTGCTTGGCCCATGTGTCATTCCCCTCTCACCAGCAAGAATGGCAAGTTGGGCAGCCAAAGTACCGCTTTATTGCCCTTCTTTTACATCCAGGTATTCTTTTACCTGCTCAAATTTCTTCCTGCATCTTCCATGAAGTAACAAAAGTCACAAAAAGTGGACAAAACCACGCCTGCAGCCTCAATGTTAATCACCTCTTAACCAATAAATTTTAGTCAAAAAGCACTGCAGGTCTGCATATGGTTGAACTGTACATTTTGGTCTTATGGCCTGATGAATTAAAAAGCTATTTACAAAGCAAGTCATGCTGGAGGGGGACTGACACCAAGTCGTGCTCTATTAAAACACAGAATCAAAGGCAGCCATCTATTTTGTGCAGTGGATCTAATTACTCAGTCACTCTGTGAAACATTCTCAATTATGTTATTGTCAATGATACACACACACACACACAACTCAATTCAACTTAATTCAATTTATTACTTTTAAAGTTTTAAGAAACAGTGTTGCTAAAGTATTAACACATAAGGACAATAGACAACAGCAGTAATTAATAAAATATTAATACAGCATTTAGATTTAAAATTATATTATTTATGTATACTACAGCTGCATGTGTGTCTGTAACCATATTAAATGTATCAGCATGGTCAAGCAGGAGTTTTCAGGTAAAACTAATTTACTAAGTGGACATTTTTGAAAGACGTGTTTGAAAAATGCTTGAAAATTTCTGAATTAAGTTTTGTTTCTTCAAACCACCAGAAGCACTGGTCCACTGCTGGCCAGAGTACCTTGACGGTCCACTCTGGGTAACGAAGGTTTGTACGTGTGTGTGTGCTGTTTGTGTCTAGGTCCTTCACTGTGCCTCAGGTTGTGGCATGTTGTTACATTTTGGGCAGGAAGATACAGTATTTAGGCCTACACCAGGCCCTCCTACTAGTTGGACCTGCCCAATAAACCTCCATTGGATGCTACATTTTTGCTGACAAACTGCATGTTGGTCTTGCGTTCCAATTTAAACTTCCAGGTGAACAAGATCCTGAGATACTAAAACTCCTTCTCTTGGGTCAACATGTCCCTCCTAACCCAGAAGGATCAATCAGGACCCTCTAATAGGCACACGTCTGCTGATACGACCTTGTTTCATGACACTCGACTGGGTACTAACCAAGAAGTAACATGGAGTGCGGACCACCAAGATTTGCGGATGGGAACTATGCAAGCTGGGCAGCAGGTAAAGGCATGTCCTTATGTGCGCTGACCCTTGGTAGGTGGTAGACTGGTTAACACAACTAGCACAGCAAAATCAATCTGCAAGACTTCACAGAATGGGGTTCTTTAAGCTTAAGTCCCTGTATACTAACATGCAAACCAGCAAGGACCAGTCAGTCACAATGGCTTCTTGAGTTGTTTTTCTTTTCTGAGAACTGAACATAATTTCATTAATTTGGAACTCTCAGGCACTTGGCCTTCACCGCAAGACAGAGGTGCTCTCTAGTTGCGAACCCATTATCTGACAAAACATAACAATTTTTCATATGCGTACAAAACAATGTCTTTGTACCAACTTTATCAGCATCGCATCTCTAAAAATGTATTATTATTTATGAAGAATATCATTAGAAACTTGGGTTAAGATTTTTTTGTTAAAATGTATAGCATAAATATATTAGCTCAATTTCCGTTTTAGATTATCTTTATAGTCACCACGTCTTGTTCCTCTACAGGTTTTGAGCTTTTCGTCTCATTGTTTTCTGCTGAGAAGAAGCTTGAGTTGACTTTGAGGACCCACTCTGTGATTCTCTGGTCAGTGTAGTACTCGTCATCACTGTCCTCCTCCAGCCTCTCGGGGTGACCTTTGTCTTCAGAGTCCTCAGATACTGTTTCAATAGCTGAGTCATCAGAGCAGAACCCTCTTTGTTGCCTTGGTTCGCAGAGACTGGCATCATGTTTAACCCCGACAGGCATCATCATACCGCTGTCACTGGCGCCGGGATTACGGGTGTCATTCTTCTTTTGCTGCAACACAGAGTCAACTAGTTCTGGAGTCACTGTTGCAGCTGGCTGATCATCAAAGGCCTGTTTAATCAGTCTGCTGCAAGTCTCAGAATCCTGGATGGCTTCTTTGTTTCTTGCTGCAAGAGCAACACTGATTTTATTATATTTGTTAGGCTCCTGATTTGCTTTCCTGCATTGTGTACCAAACACACGAAACACTGTGTTGTCTTTCATTTTGCTGCCAGTTAATGAACTTGTACTATATCCTTTTGGCTTGATTAACTCCTTTCTGTGCAATGTGACAGCAGCAGTTGGTTCCACTTTGCCAGAGACTGTTCTTGATTCGCTGATAGGTGGCAAAGAGATGTTTGCTGTTATCTTTGGCTTAGACTGGCCCGTGCCATGTTTTGACCTACTCACGACATATGCAGTGTTGTAAGATTTTGCAGTCGCCCGAAGATTATTGGATGCTCGTGTTGGTCTGCTGATCCGCTCCAAAGTTCGACTGTTCCTTTCAATAACATTCGATCCCCATCGTCCAGACCTTCTGCTCGTGTTTAAATCTGTCCGATCCTGCTTGTTGTGAGCAACTGTGTGAGAATTTTTCATAGCCTCAACACCCTTTTGCATGATCCGTCAGGCAAACTGACCGATGAGGATCACAAGGTTGTCTGTCAGCTTTCTTTTATACCACTTGGGTTCTCAAGACACCGCCCACTCCACACACACACACACACACACACACACAGACTAGTAGTCACTTGATCTGTAACAGTACTCCTTATAGGTTACTGGTAAGGACCCATACTCTTTCACGGTTGATCAGGAGCCAAATAACCAACGCAAAAGAAGAATTATTCCTATCTCTGTCATGTCAACACAAATTGTACACGTCTTTGAGGAGGTCGGTCCTTAATGGTTTGACTACTTTGTTTGGCTAAAGGTGTCACCATTAGTGGGTGGTCAGGGTTGCCAGCCCCTTTTAAATGACGTGTGGCTATCAAATCACAGGGCTAATGCCGTATTTCATTTTTATGTAAATAAATGTTATTGAATTCAAGCAAATTTAAACTTCCAGGGGTTATTTATGTGTGCACATTGGTTAATCTATACTACCTGCTTCTACGTATGCTCTTTGTGGTTGCCCAGTCTTGTTATTTAATAGCCACACTTTGTATCTGACTCCTCCTATGTGAAGCTTTGCTGTTAAATTGCAGGTTCATACAGGAATATTTCATTTTGGTAAATGCACTAAAATGCATAGTTTTCCATGACTGAGATGAGAATATTGATATTTATTGCTTCACTGTGTTATGTACGAAGCTGGAGTCAGTCTTGTGTCAATTTTCATCCAAAATGCAATTTTTGACAAAATTTACAGAAAGTTGACAAAAGAATATGTGTTCTCTTTGTGATAATTTGTGAACATTATAAGAGGAACAGATTAACAGTTGGTGGAGCTAATTCTCCTGTAAGGTGTCATTAAACTATTGCAGAAGACGAAAGCTATAGTTAAACATAAGACAACCAAACTGTACAAAGCATGTGATGGAAATGTGCTATTTATGTGTT